ACTTCTAAACTTGGTTACACTTATATGATGAGTGCTCTGTCCTCGTATTCCTTTCTGAGTAACGCTAATTACCTGATTTTTTTCCACTAAGGTTCTGAATAAGAGCTTGAATTGAAGTGGATTAGTCTTATTTACAGTAAGAGTTAACAAGAGTAGAGTTGGGTAAAAGGTTTTGGTTGAATATTTTGTTCAGTTAAAAATGCACATTTGGATTAATCAACACTATTCATGACTTTATCAAATTGCTCCAGCCAGAATAATATTTTTGAATGATAAAATTGTTTCAGTTCAGCATTTTCTAAATTAAGTGCCTTGACATGGGGTAGGGGGGCGGGGTTTGGAAATTTTATCTGAAGTTAACTAAAAAGAATGAAATAGCAAGTCAGTATATTTTTTTGACTGCAAGATTCTCACAGCTCTAAACAACCCCATCCAGCAGGTAAAACCTACAAAATGATGTAGTGGGTATCTACGACAGACCACCAGACCAAGAGGAAGTGGTAGGTGAGGCTTTCTTCAAACAGCTAGCGGAAGTTTCGCAATCACAAGCCCTTGCTCTCATGGGGGGGACTTCAATCACCCTGTCATCTGCTGGGACGTCAATACAACAGTGTGCAGGCAATCTGGGAAGTTTTTGGAGAGTGATGGGGACAAGTTCCTGGAGCAAGTGCTGGAGCGGCCAACTAGGGCCAGGCTCTTCTTGATCTGGAGCTCACAAACCAGGAAGAATTGTTGGGGAATGTATTAGTAGATGGCAACTTGGGCAGCAGTGACCATGAGATGATTGAGCTCAGGATACTGAGGAAAGGAAGGATGGAGAGCAGCAGGGTAACCCTGGACTTCAGAAAAGCAGACTTTAACTCACTCAGGGAACTCATGGGCAGGATCCCCTGGGAAGCCAGCCTGAGAGGGGGAGGAGTCCAGGAGAGCTGGCTGTATTGGATGACTTCCTGAGGTCCCTCCCAACCCTCGTTTTCTATGATTCTGTGGATATTTTTTGGCAGTGTAGCTGAGTGACCCTGCTGAGTCTCCTAGATGAACTGGTGCGAGGACCCAGCAGCTGCTGCCACTCTCTTCTTCCTACTCCCTAGGTGCTGTGGTGAGGAGCCCCAACTCTGCAGGCTGGATCTAGTGGTTCCACATGGCATAGGTTGCTAACACTTTATGAGGAGACTCTTCCTAGGCTCTTCCTCCTCTTTTCTTCTCTATTTCTTCATAGACTAATGTAATTGCTGTACAGCCTAGATCAGGGGTGGGCAAAATACGGCCTGCGGGCTGAATATGGTCTGCAGGGCCCCTAAAAAAATTAGGAAAATTAATATTTCTCTGCCCTTGGTTCCTGTTAAAAATGTTTTGTCCCTCCCCCCCCCCCCCCCCCCTTCCAAAACCCTCTTCTGGGGTTTCTGGGCTGGAAGCACGTGGCTGCCTCGGCATGGGAAGCTCAGGTAAGTGCGGGGGACGACCCTGGGCAAGGAAGGAGTGTGGGGGGTGGGGG